ACTTCTCGTATAAGAATATCAAAAAAGCTTTGGTTGAGGATATAGTTTTTGTGAATTTTTTAGTCGTTGAAGTTGGAAGTGAAGTCGGCGAAAATTAGCATCTTCGACAACTGCCTCTATTTAGAAATTTCATGCTAATAGTTGAATTAATTGAATTGAATTTGATATTCTAATACTACGAGAAGTTTGCTATTAAACGATATTAAGCTTGCTTGCAAAACTTTTCACTTTTGAAACAAATTTTTCAATTGAAAAAACCGCCATTACTTATTAGCCAGCCCACTAGCAGTTATTAGCCAGCCCACTAGCAGTGGGCTGGCTAATAAGTAATGGCCGTTTTTTTCAATCGAAAAATTTGTTCCAAAAGTAAAAGTTTTGCAAGCAAGCTTAATATCGTTTAATAGCAAACTTCTCGTAGTATTAGAATATCAAATTCAAATTCAATTAATTCAACTATTAGCATGAAATTTCAGGTGGAACAGACGTGAGCCTGCCCAATATTGGCAAGGTGAAGGTTGCCAACTTTGAAATTCTTGAAATTAGTTCCAAAGCGTCCTATTGAGATTCCCTTGCTGAGACTTCTACCTCAACCTTTTCCGAATGTATGGAGCAGCTTAAGCATTTTTAGACGAGGCTTACCAGTAGAGCGTAAGATAAAGAGGCAGTTTGTGCGAGAATGCTAATTTTCAGGTGCGCGACGTGATCTTCGCAAGCTTCAACGATAAAAAGCTCAGTGACTGTTAACGCGGTAGATTGAAATCTGATATTCAATAACTATAGTTCAGCTACAGATCTTTATTACAAATTTTATTTGGTTCTCTATGACCTCTTCTGTAGTTTTGGCCTTTCCGCTCTAGTAGAGGGAAACATCATCAATATCCTACCCATATCAGGAATCTGGTTGACCAAGAAAATTTCGCTTGTTTCGAGGTCAAGGAATCGCTCTGAAGGCACACCCCAGTTTAACAGAAGTATAGGTAATATTTTTAATAGTGTGTTCTAAGACATTAGTTTTCACGTCAAAAAATACCTTGCCTATCGCGAGCGTAGACTAATGGATCAGAAAGATTCCTCTTTCTTCAAATGTATGAGAGGGAAAGTTGACGCCCCTACCAAGCCTACATGCATTGTGACCGATGAGAATCAGGCCATGAACTCCGACGAAAGATAGCGACAGCTTTGGGGGGCAATCAACTTCGCAGTGTGTTTAGCGCTAGACAGCATCGCGAGGCTCCAGACGCAACATACCATAACCAGATAGCGCGATCACAAGAGAGGTTAATGTTTTTCCGGAGCTTTGTTAATCGCTAAGCCATAGATGATGCTGCTGCGAATTCTGAAACAACTAAAGTATCGCTGCTGCTAATTAGCCTTATGGTGGTATACCACAATATGTTTTTCGAAAATGCTGTTTTGCCCATCAGCATGCTGTAACATTCATACTTAATGCCTCTCCATTATTCGGTGAAGTGCCTAGTATTTGGAAAGATGTTCTTGTAACCCCCAATTCCAAAAGTTCCTTTGTGCTACCAAGGTCTCACATTTTAGGCCCATAAGCGTCGGCACTGTTCTGGGAAAATTATGGAACAGATCATTTCTAAAAAACTAACTTCCTTAAGCTGAGTGGCATTACGAAAAGAGGGTTCATACCATCATAACAACATGGTTTTTTTGCCAGGAGCGTCAACTATAACATTCATGTGTGGTTCGATGTACGATTGGGTAACCGGCCTCAACAGTGGCAAGTCGATTGCATATCATATATTTTGACTAACCAAAGCGTTCCACAAAGTGTGTCACAATAAGCATATTAGCAAACTCAAGTTGATCGGTATACAAGGTATTAATAGAATGGTTGGAATCGTATTTAAAGGAGAGGTATATGATGGTTAGGGTCGGCAATCAGTATTCTGGTCGCCACTTATGTTCGGGTGGTGTGCCACAAGGAGGAGCACTTTCGCCACTGCCGTTCTTGATATACAGGGGGCAAAGAAAGTCCCTTTGATTGCATTGGACGTTCTCGAGGAGGCTTACAGACGTCGCCGAATCTGCAGAAACGTGCCGAATCTGAAGACGTGGCGGGAAGAAGAAAAGCATTACATACGTATCGATCAGAAGAAAGTGAAGAAGTGCCGAAACTGCAGACGTGCCGAATCTGAAGAAATGCCATCACTTTCTTCTAATCGTTACGTAATGTAATGCTTTTCTTCAGCTTTCGGCGCCAAGTGCTTGCAGATTGCGGCAGGCTTGGGCAGCTGCAGTTTCGGCAACTTTCCTTCAGGCTTTCCTTGCAAAATCCATTGCCGTATCCATTGCTTTTCTTCACTTTCGGCATTTCTGCAGATTCCGCACTTTCGGCACTTCTGCAGATTCGGCATTTCTTCGCGAACGCAATCCATGAACGCGGCCTAAGCTACACTTTATAAAATCTGATCGGACTTTTCTACCACCATATTAAATAGCATATTAAAGGCAGCGTCCGCGATCAACCAAAGTGAAAAAACCCTCCATTGAAAACGAACGCGGAGTCCGCAATCACAGCAGAAATCCCACTCTTGCGGCTCGAAATCGATTGGTTGACGAGGGCGGAGTCAACAAGGCTGAGCTGACGCCTCCTTTCCTGTTAATCCCGCCCCGACTGGTTAACAGTTATCAGCAGTTATCAGTGCTTGCTGGCATTGATAAACGCTAAGTTTCTGGAGTTCCGCGACGTGTATTGGAGAACTCACCAAAGGTCTGCGAAACTCGTCCACATGCCTTAAATTTCGTAGGGTCTTATTTCACGCTCTTCCACACCTTTTTCCTACTTTTTTTGATTAGTGCTTCATTGGCCACCTGTTCTAACAAATTTGACCCCTGAGACCTGCCAAAGTCCATCGCGGGCGCTGTCTTTAAATACTATTATGACACTCCGCCACAGCCTTCTGGAGGAGCGCCATCGAGAGATTCTGGCACGCGACCGCGATGTGGTCCCTGAGATCAGCGAGATAGTCGATTTCTCCGCCACCGTAGACCACCCTATTGAACTCCGCCCGAACCGGGTAATTGAGGGGATTCAGGTCAGGTGACCTACTTGGATATTCCATCTTCTTTAGGTACTCAGCCCCCTTCCATTCCAAGTAGGCGAGAGTTTCTCCAATGCCCTTCGATTCCACGTGCTGTAGCAATCCAAGAAGGTACGGAGCGACGACATGTGGAGGAAGATATTCTTCTTGAGTTGGTCGATGTAACCGCCAGCGCTCAGCTTCAGCCCGGGGTCCACGAAGAAAATATTGGTCTTTCCATTCCAGGTGCGTCCGGTCCATACCATCAACCCGCGCCTTGGCGACTGTGGTGAAGATGATGTCCTAGACCGTGGCGACGTTGTCGGAGCTGCTCGATGTTGGAGGTCTTCCAGATTGAGAGTACTGGTCTCCAGGTAGCTATCCATGGGTGATTCCATTCAAGAAGTTCCGCAGCTGTTTGGAGGCCACGTGAATTCCAAAGGCGTTCTCCACTCAGGCCGCTGGAGATGACTTCATATTTTGGTGTACATGAAGGTGAATGGCGGCAGCCAGCTCCTGCTTATAGAGGAACATCTTGGGTATCTTCCGCCCTGGTACTCGTATCCACGTCTTCTCTCTGGGCTGCGAAAACTTTGCTGATATGTGACTCGGTCGAAGTGACTTTTTTTGCCCCCCCCCCCTGTACACATTGGACCTGCCAGAAATTCTCAAGGTTCGTCCCAGTATTGAAGTTAAAATTAATTAAATTGATGATATCAGAATCTACTGCAGTCATGAGCAACAAGTAGGACACAAAATGCTAACCAGGAAAGGTCAATGGGTCAGCCTGGCCATTTGCAATGAGATGCATACTGAAAGACAGATCTCGAGATGCTGAACTCAAATCTGCGCTCAGAATTTGCAGAACGATTCTCTGAAGGAAGTTACGAGGGGGGTCTATTTTGCATACCACCTCAGCTCACCGACGCCTTATTCCGAGGTCGTGTATAAATTCAAGGGAAGCAAGAGCAGAGCGTGCCGTCGGTGGTGTAGTGGATAGCGATGTCGGTTCATGAACAAAAGGTCGGGAGTTCGAT